GTTTCATGAGAAAAATGTTGTGTTACATGTATTACATTTATTTTTGAATGTGCCTTTGTGGATTGGTTGATTTTGTAGTATTGTAAAAATCCAGTGTGGTGTAGTGGTTTGGGTGTTGGACTAGGACTCTGGGAGACCAGGGCTCTAAGCCACACCTTGGACAAGTCACACTATCTCAGCCTCAGAGGAAAGCAGAGGACAACTCTTTTGAACAAATCTTGCTAAGAAAACTTTGTGATATGGTCACCTTACGTTTCGCATGTCAGAAACAAATTGAAGGCACACAACAATCATTAACAACAGCCATAAGAGTCTGTTTAAATAGGATTTCTTTCTTCTGGTTTCTTTCTTCTTTATTTGTGAAAATTAAAATATCAAGATGATACACAATCAAATATATGTACACATTGTCTGATTACCACAATATCCAAATATTTGTATGTCATCTCACTAAGTCTTTCAGTTTGATTTTTAAAACTGATAATCTTGCAGTTGCTTTTCTTGGCTTCTTTAAAAGTCCCTTGTTCATGAAATGGATGGGAAGGGGCCAGCTTATTTCACTCATATTCTTTAATATGTAGCACCTGAGTGCTGTAGGTGTAAGATTTTCAGGTGGGAAGCCAAAGCTTTTGTTTTTAATTGCAAAGTGTTGGGGAAAGAAACTGTTCTACTAACCACCAACAGTATAATATTTATGTTCTAAAGGAACTCCCAGAGTCTGTAAATAACTGGTTAAAATAACTAGCTATTTTTAATTAAATGTCATCTCCAATAACTAAAGTGTAAATATATTACGTGACAATTGCAACACATTGAAGGATAGCATCATACTTTTCTGTGGTGCAGCTAACCTTTTAGTTACTTTCCTAGTCATGAGGGAACCAGTAAATAGAGGAGTAGAAATAATACAAGGTTCAGGTGTTGGCTTGTGCTGCTAAATAATAAAAATATCAGTAAATATCAGCAGTAATGAAAATATTTCCCTTATTTTTGAGAAACAGAGAATAAAGAGAATTAAGTAAACCTATATTGTAAGAGTGAGCTTTTTTATTTTAGTTTAGTTTAGGTATACACACCCACCTGAATCACTTGATTAATGGGCAGAAATTGTGCTAGTTTGACAAGGAAGATATTCAGCAATATGCATCATTATAACTTGATGATAAATTACATTATTATAAGGCTTGTATTGTGGGATTAAGATTCCCTGCTCTCCCCATTTCCTTTCAGATTACAGCAGGAGCCTGGCTGGTCCCCGTATTTTTGTAGTGACCACCACCACCACCACCACCCTTACCAATTATTGTTTTCACCAACGTGGGGAAAGCCAGTCAAGACTTGTGGATTTAATGAGCACCCTCCCTCCAAAAAACATCCCATAAAATTCACATATAGGTATAGATATATGTTAACAAAGTAGATGTGTTTCTGGGTATACCATTATTACAGAAAATTTGGTACCAGAGGCAGAAATAACATGGTGATAGGGACAGGTTCCTACATCACAAAACATGAAGAGCAATTCAATATGTTTCAGCAAACATTTTATTCAAAACTAACAATATACTTGCCTGAAATGGGGAATAAAAACAGGTCAGGTAAGCCTTGGATAAGTATACAAAACCTTTTGAACCTTCTGGAAACCACTTGAAGACTTTCCACATAATACATTGAGAGATTTTTCTTTCTTTCACCAAGTTTCAGCTTTCTTATGATTTCCAATTGAGTGGCATGCAGAAGGTAGCTGGTTAGGTAGGTGTATCTGCTTCCCCCTTCTCTCTTTCTTGTTGTTTCTACATACTCAGTAAGGGGTTTGGAGGCAGGTAGTGGCT